TAAGCCGTAATAAAACAATACTTTACGCAAACCATATTTGAGTTCCCCGCACTTTGAGAGTTGCCTAATTAAAACGCGAAATAGCCAATTAATAACTCATCAGTGTGACCGCCAGACGAATCCGTTTTTAATTATTCAGTAATGAATCATGCTGATGACAATCGATTTTGACGTGAGCATGGATCGGGCTTTCATTTGGTTTTGTGTTCGACGACAGTAAAAAAATGTAGATTTTGGTTTTATTTATTTATTTTATAGAAACCAACAGCGATACATTGAAAATGTTAGTTATAAGATTTAGACTGAGATTTAGTTATATTTTGAACAAATAAAGCAAATTGATTAGATTCTCATGTAGGTACTTAAGTAATGCTATACTGTACCTAACTAAACGTAAGTAGCAATATCCATAAACGGGACTTTAAGTTCAATCATGTACTAATGAACAATTTTAGTAGTCATCATAAATGAATTAAGTAGGTAATTTCATATCCTTAAACTTTGCAAAATTGTAGCCTCTGTCCTCCAAATCGGAATACTTAAAAAACCTCCTTTATCAAGTTCAAAGCAAATAATAAATTCAGACACTACCTACTTTTTTAATTTAATGGCTACTTAAAAAATCTAGATGTAGGTAGTAGGTACAATTTGTAATTTTTACATAAAAACAAAATCTAACGTTACCATGAAATTTCATATCATTTTTAGCATGTCTACACTTCCTCTTATCATTTTCTAACGAAGAACAAAATCTTCGTTCATCTCTTAAAAAGATGGAATACAAAACAATTGCTCACCGCAGGAGAGCCAGGTGTGAATGAAAAGGGTCAGTTCCAAGAGCCTTGAAGATTGCGTCGGCTAAGGGATTAGGAGACCAGTCAGACAGAACTTCAGTACCCTTCGACAGATCACAATGGACACTGCTTGTGTGGTCTGCTAATGAATGGACGACGAATGTTAAAACTACACAAAGGTACCTTTTTCATGGTAAAAGAAAGGACTCTACATTTTTTGCAGTCATTAGTACCTTTCACGTAAGTACTTATCTATGATTTTGATCGTTAGTCAAATCGTCTTTAAACGCGACAAAACTTACTAGGTAGGTTACATAGCTCGTTTCAATATAGCTACCAATCTTGGCATAATTTATATAGTTAGTGCAATATCTATTTCACAAAACATATAAAGCAGACCCAACTTTGAATGCCAGCCAAATAATAAAATTATAACACAATACTAAACTCACAATATCATATTACAAATCTGCTCCTTTCTTACATACTGTCAGTCATCCATACATCCGATATATCCCGCCCATCCCATTTGACTACAAATTAACAAATTATCAAACTACAATAACTCCTGAACAGCTGTGTTGAAACGTCAAAATTTGCCAAGCCCGCCACAATAGCCCTATCAATGACTACTTATTTTTTTTTTGGGCTGTACTGTGACTGCTTATAAACCGAGGATCGGGCAAAGGTGTCACATTACTCTGCCTATTGTAACCTCGGAGGTCTGTTTACAAACAAAATAAGGGCTTGTCATAATCTTTTTTCGGATGCGTCGTCACTATTTTTCGGTCTGGCAACTTTGGGCGGATTGTTTTTTTTGGGCGGCTTAGCGAAAGCGCGCAAAGGTATGTATTTCAACGCCTTTATGTTGGTTTATCCGCAGATCGCATAAAGGTGTTTCACGGAAAGGGAAGGTAAATGTCATCTTTTTTGTATTGGGTAATAGCAAGGGCTGATCTAAGAACAATTCGTGGTATCTTTTCGACGTTGACATTTTTGAAGGGGATCTACGTAAGCTCCCAGAGTTTTACTTTCAATAGTGTTTTTGAAATTGTGTTTTTATGAATATTGTTTACTTAACCAGTCAAAAGAGCCGACACTGATGCGCCTTGTTCTCACAGTGGAAGTTATATCGACTCTAATGAGAATATTAGCATATAGTGTAGGTTTAAGTCAATTTTAACAGTACCTAGCTTATTTAGATTCAGGTTAGTCAGTCAGTTATACAATTGGTTTCATACATTTTCTCTTATAGTTGTAACTTTTAATGAATTAATTACATGAAATGTTTACATTTACTTTGTTTTTCATTTATTTAAGCATTCTTTAAATTCTTATCTTTACTCAAAGGAAAATAAGACCCATAACATCAAAAGGAAAAACTTACCAAAATTCTCACCTACCTCAATCAGTTGAGCAGAAACTTTGCAAAACAAACAATACCTTACAACAATTACATTACGCGAAACCTCAAGCGTCAAATGCGCTGATCTTTGCCTTTTTTCCGAAGTGACAAACACAAAAACAACCCTATTCCCTTCGCTTCAGGTTCAAAATAAACGCTTGCTCTCAAAGAAAAAACTTTTTAAAAGGATCTCTGCCAATGTACTTGAAAAATGTCTGCATTTCATAAGCTCTCTTAAAGCTTACGCAACACAGTTCAAATCCCAATACCTTACATTTTACAAATAGCAAACGTGGCCAACATTGATCCCAATATGCAGTGAAATGCATACTGACCCATAATTCGTTCTCATAAAGACTGTATTCCTAGCTCAAGTACCTCACTGGCCGCAAATCCAAAATGGCCGCTAGTTAGAAGCGGCGAAGCGTGAACGCTTGCTCGTCGGAGGGGCCCGTGGGTTTATTTTTTCTGTAATCCTAACCCGGATTAGTGCGAAGCCAGTTTGATTGGCAGCCGTCGGCCGTCGGATGCAAGATTTTGCCCACGGCCTGGGGGATGCTGTTTTTGAAGCGTACGTGTTGCACGACTTAGAGATTGCAATCTATTTTCAAAGAACACATTGGGAGATGCGTCTTAGACATTGATATGCCGATGCTAGTTCGTAAGGGGTCCCTTTTAATGTTTTAAGGACCGTAATAAAGGACCTGTCATTATAGTTATTTCATATAGACTAGGAGACTAACAATGATATTGGTATGTATTACCTAAATAAAATGCTACGAACTTCATGATTGGCTTAGAAGTACAGTTGACTTCAGATTCGTCGACTTCAAACTAGCACGTAGGTACCTATTACACTTCATTTGATGTTCTGCTCATGCCATCTTGCGCTGCTTCTTCTCAGCACTGGCCCATTTATTTCCTCGATGCAGTGGTAGGATTTTATACTGGGACATGTTAAAGAGCTTTTTAAAAGCCTGTTTGCAAAATAGATGAATTTGAATTTGTCCCTTTACAAACTGTATCAGCAAAACCGCGTTAATTCATCGCCAATTCCTAAGCATTGCATTGGTATATCTGCATGATGGGATTCCATAAAGGGATTAAGTTTCCAATCACGGGGTTACGGAGATCGAGGCTGCGAGGTGGCAATCGAATTACCGCACTGTTAGAACTGGAAATTACAATTAAACTCGGTTAGGACATAAGGTGCAAAAATAACACTGAGTTTCTCATATTACTTCTTACAAGCAACTTAATTGATGCATGGGTCTTTTTTTATCGTACATATTTGAAATCACACGACATTGGTGTCCGACTCTAGTGACGCATTTGTACTCAATAAAATGTAGAGTCAATACCTAAGTGCTGATTTTTGTATACAACCCGATGTGCTGTTAGTTTACGAGCCTTTTATTTATCAATAGACTTAAGTATCTTCAGAAGTAGAGAGTACTTATCTAATTATTTTCAGACTACTAGACTGATGGCAGTCTATTATGATGTAATAAACCTGGGCCCTGGCAATGGTTTTAATTTTGTGTCTTGCCTGGATATTGAACACAGGTACATCCAGATCTAGGTACAATTCTCAAACCATTAGACCACATCGCTCAAGGTAAAGTTAAGGAAACAAAATGTCACAGTACAAATTCGGATTCTAACGGGATCTCTTCTAGAAGTCGAATGGTAAGTGACACTTACATATTTGCAATTAAAATATTACCCATTTCTTCAAACTTTCGGAATTTGAATTTCAATACTTAGTTTTGGCTACTGAAATCTGTAAAAATACTGAGTAAAGTCTTTTGTAAGAATTTTTTAATAGTCCATGCAAATAAATGAATTTTGACTTTGACTTTTACGAAAAATCCTGAGAACTCATCGCACTTCCAGAGTCGAAGCTATATTAGTCCAGTTTGAGAATCCGAGAGCAGTATTAACAGCACTAGCCTGGTCCACATGTCAAGTATTCGCGACCTTGCCTTAGCTGCGCGAGTTAGTCACGGCGCTCTCACGCGCACCCGTCTGGTAGCCTCGTCGGCGGGATTTAGCTCCTACGCACCAGGGCTGTCTCTCATCTCTTTAATTAATAGCCCCTAATATATCCTAACATCATTGGCGAAATAAAAGCATAGATAGAATAGAACAATCATAGACTTCGCTGACTCGAACATCTGGAAGGAATAGGGGAGGATCGTCCAATGAAGCAAGCGTACTTGGGACGACTAGGGGGGCCGTCGACCGTTGGTCATCCTAGATAGCACTGGGAAGACGAAGTCGCTGTGCGATCTCCACTCTAATTACTAACTAGCGAATAGTGGCTCAGAACAGACTGAAGAGGAGATTTTTATTTCCAAGACTCACTTTGGGTCATCTTCGTTTTTAACCAGTGCTTTGGCCTTCCGTATCCCGCAGAAGAACTGCCCCGGTCCGCTCGCCTTCATCCTTGCCGCCAGCAGGCCTAGTGCCACCAGAATTAGCAAAACTTGGCTCCTCAAGACTTAGTGACCACTTCGTTTTACTTCAAAATATTCCACTCAAATGTACATCAACTGAAAACCCTTCCCTTATATACCGCATCACTTCATTAATATTCAAATGTTGGCCTAAAATCCAGTGACGTCATTAAATGTCTACCATGATCATATGTGAATTTCTCACCTGAATAGATAATTCATGTTAACGAGGGCGCATTAATATCTTCCTACTCATTTACTAAAATAACTTATCCAAAGCCAAAAATTGGTATAAAAAGGGCAGGGTCTTACATTTTACCACATTACACATCAGCTCTCCAAGCTACATAACAACTGAATAATGAAGACCCAAATCTTCTTCGTTCTCGTCGTCGCCTGCTTCGTCTACGTGGCAGCGGACCCTCAGTTCTTCTGCGGAAGAAAGCTGGCGAATGCCCTGGCTGTTATGTGCCCGTACCAGGACTACCAGGGGACAAGCAAGAGGTCTGGCAGCACTCTTGAAGACTACGAGGGATTCGGCCTGTCCTGGTTGCTGAACCAAGCGTCGAAGGCCGAGGCTCTGACCACGAAGGCCAAGAGAGGAGGAATTGTATCCGAGTGCTGCGAGAAGCCTTGCTCTATTGATGAGCTGCTCACATATTGCTAATCGCCTGGAGTTGAGGAATCTTGTATGATATTTGAAATTTCTAAATTTTAATAAATAATAGCAAATTGTTTGGATCGTATCATTTCAACCCTGTTTAACTTTTTGTCTTCAACAGTCTTAACTGAAATGAAATTGGTGATTTTACTAAGTTTTTTTTAGTGAGCTTCTCATGGATGTCGCAAAAGGCGATTAGGATATTATAAATATGTGAACTTCGAACCTCCAAAATTTATCTTATTTAATAGATGACATTATTCTAATAAGAACGTAGATCTTCCAATAGGAATGGCTTCATCATCATCATCATATCAGCCACAGGACGTCCACTGCTGAACATAGGCCTCCCCCAATGCCTTCCACGTTGATCGATTGGTAGCGGCCTGCGTCCAGCGCTTCCCTGCCACCCTTACGATGTCGTCGGTCCACCTTGTAGGTGGACGTCCCACGCTGCGTTTTCCGGTACGCGGCCTCCATTCCAGAACCTTTCTGCCCCATCGGCCGTCAGTTCTGCGTACTATGTGCCCTGCCCATTGCCACTTCAGCTTGCTAATCCGTCGGGTTATGTCAGCGACTTTGGTTCGTTTACGGATCTCCTCATTTCTGATTCGATCTCGCAAAGAAACACCAAGCATAGCCCTCTCCATAGCACGCTGTGCAACTTTGAGCTTCTGTATAAGGCCTATAGTGAGAGGCCACGTTTCCGAGCCATAAGTTATCACTGGTAACACACATTGGTTATACACTCTAGTCTTCAGGCATTGAGGTAATTTGGACGAAAGGATGTTGCGTAGTTTCCCGAACGCTGCCCAGCCCAGCTGGATTCGACGATTGACCTCCTTCTCTGGAGGAATGGCTTAGGCTTTATAATTTTCTTTTAACCTCGTAAGCCCGGATGTGCCTCAGAAAGAACTGAAACTTTGTAGTCAGTAACGCCGAGACATTTTCGAAGGTAATTTCGAAGTATCGCCGGATGTGCCTTCAGAGGAACTTAAACTTTAGCGATAAATTTGAGTTCAAAAATTCGCGCCTATCGAAAAAAAAGAATGATAGTCTATGGCTTAAAGTATTCAAAATCAGGTATCCGAACTTATTAATATTAAAAAAACAAAATGTCACTGTCAAATTATCATTTTTCTTTGACAAGGTGGTTCGTCCGAGAAGACGTGATTTGCGATTAATTTTTTTTCTTCACGTAAACGTAGTTTAATTGCAAAACTGACCAGTATAATTTAAGTTAAAATACTGCTAAACAAGCAAAAAAATTCTTTTTCCCAATTTGAAGTGGTTTTGCAAGATTTTTTTTGGTTTGAAAATAATAGTTCTTTGCAAGAAACATTCGGTCTTGATGGTGAAAGTTTTATTTTTATATATTTTTTCTATTGAGATGGGATTGAGTATTGGACTTTTAAAATTATGATATGATTCAGAAAATTTACCATGAGAACGTTCTGATTTTTAGTTTAGTAAATATTATAATTAACATGAATATTCACTTTACTTCTTGTACATTCTAACCTATCATTAGTGTATGTTATAAAACCGATAGTTAAAAGTACTAAATATGAAACATTAAATAAAATTAAATCCGTTGTTCCTTTTCAGTTACATTTATTAATATCATTATTGTATCTTTATGTAGTATTAATTTATTAAGAAGGTTACATTTATGTTTTACTTTAAAGAATAAAATACAATTTATTTACTTTTCCTTTTTAAAGTCTGTAATACCGAATGTTCTTTTAAGAGAAAACATTTTTTTATTATTTATCACCTAAAATAAGCTCTATGCACTATTATAGGGCCCCTGAAAATATGAATGCAAAAGAAAATCTCTAACATAGAATTTTTTTTACTCGAAGTGCTCGGCGTTTACTACAAATTATTCGTTCTTCTGAAAGCACACAGTAGCGGCGTAAGGGGGGGGCGGTGGGGGCGGTCCGCCCCGGGTGCCAAGCATCAGGGGGTGACACAAGTCGCGCAGATTAGTACTCACTGGCACATTTGCATGACAAATCTGCGGTCTATGTCATGATGCGGGGGGGTGGGGGAATGCGATTGTCTTCGAATCGGTAGGTAACCCCAAAATCCTAGGGGGTACCAGGGGGCCAGGGGGTGCCTTAGGACTTATTACGGGGGGAGGGGGGGGTGATCGCCCCGGGTGCCAACCCATGCTACGCCGCCACTGAAAGCACATTCGGCGATACTTAGAAGTCGACAAAATTTACTCTTCGGTCTTACGAGGTTAAGTGACACTGATTTGGCTTTTGATAGAAATTAAACAAAGTTTAGATAGTAAGAAATGCCTGACAAAAGCTCTTGGCCTGCACCTCTATAAACATATTATAGACTTGTCCAATTACAAAATTTGATCACCCATGGATAAGAAGTCCACTTTGATCACCTAACTAGGTCTTCGATAGTCTAGACTAGAGTACTCTCTACATCCCATTTTTTGTTATTTATTTCAATATCAATATAAATGAAGCTTTTTCTGTAATATATTCTGCACAACCCTGCCGCTAACTGTGGCTGTCTCACAGTGACAATTCATTCAGACTACCTGCGCGCGCGCCTAATCCGCGTGACACATGAAACGAGTACAGAGATCTGTTTTATTTGCCTTCAACTCAATGTTACCTTTCTTGCCTATTACATTTATACAACTCAGAGATTTTAAATAGGTACTTACACAAATGAAATTTCGTGCGGAAAATGTCCATAACATAGGAATATAATAATTTAATTCTTGTGTCTCCCCCAATACTTTCATGTTGATCGATTGGTAGCGACATGCGTCCAGCGATTCCCTGCTACCTTTATGATGTCGTCGGTCCACCTTGTGGGTGGACGTCCTCCTCCCCCAATGCTTTCCATGTTGATCGATTGGTAGCGACCTGCGTTCAGCGCTTCCCTGCTACCTTTATGATGTCGTCGGTCCATCTTGTGGGTGGACGTCCCGGTACGCGGCGGTAATAAACAATAACTAAATAAGATATGAATTGTGTCAAATAAATTAACAGTGGTAAAATCATAGTCTCTCTTTTCTGGTGAGCTTGTAAATGAAACATAAACATACCTTCAATTGGCCAGCGCTGCAGCGCATGGCGCCCAACTATGTATTATGTGCTACAGGGTCATTTCAATCGCCAGTGGTGCCAACTATTAAGTATAAAAAAGATAGCCCTAACGAAAATAAATAAAACAGATGACTTCTACACGCCTTACTCTATGACGCGTATACCGAAGCTGGCCCATTTGAAACATTTATTGGTATGTATTGATCTGTGAGTGGATCAGTTAAACAAATCCCCGCCTGATGTCTGCCACAATACGTGTCGGATTGTGCTTCTTTCTCACGGCGATAACATATTGATGTATTGACTGCTTGCAAAGGAACCTCTTTTGTTTAATTTGTGAAAAAGGCTTTATAATAATACTTAGTACCTAAAGGTTTTATTGACCACAAAATGGGTAACATATCCTTTTTTTTATGTGACAGGAGGTAAACGAGCAGACGGATCACCTGATGGTAAGTGATTACCATCGCCCATAGACACCAGCAGACCCAGGAGCGTTACAAGTGCGTTGCCGGCCTTTAAGGTGAAGATACGCTCTCTTCTTGAAAGCTTGCAGGTGGTATCCATCCGGAAACACCGCAGACGACAGTCCATTCCACAGTACGGGGCAGCATTTCATGCAGACTCTGTAGTATTCTAGTCATAGATTATGTTCTGGATTGGTCTAAATCGAGTTTTGAACTTCCTTCTGCGTGTAAGCAACTAAATTGCAGTCTTGGTGTATAGTTAAATTCTGTTCAGGCTTGGTATACCTATACTGAAAAAAAATGCTGTAGGTAGAACTCAGATCTTCTATGTATTAAATTGACGTACTTTTAGAAACTGTAAAAACGAGACTAGATTTTGTAGGGCACAAGCCGATGACGTCACTATTTGCCAACGCAATTGACAAACGTTTTCCAATTAAAAATCTTAATAGGTACAGTTGATTTAAAAGTTTTCAAGACCAGAACGAACTGTATTTTTATGAAAATTGTTCTTTGGAGTTATTGGTGAATGGTGTCAAAGACCTAATTTTGTACCTTTATAAACTTGAAATAAAGTTTATTAAAGCAAAGGTTTCCATCCACTTTCCACCCCATTCACGATCCCTGGAGTCAAGCTACCTCAACAATGGGCTAAACCATGAATGAACTATGAAAGACCGGAAGTTTAACAATGGCGTTTCGTATAAAAATACAAAATTAGTGCAGTGATCAAAACTCTGGTGAGCAGATTAGAGCATGCTCGAAATGGACAATGATGCTGGTGGAAATATACGCACTGGGCGGGAGAAACGCTGCGTTTAACTAGCGTTTCCTTTCTATGATTGAAAAGTGACAACATTCTCACCCAATTAGCTATAGTAAAATAAGTGTAGCTCATAAGTCGTCGTCGTCGTTTCAGCCAAATGACGTCCACTGCTGGACAAAGGCCTCCCCCAAGGTTTTCCATAATGAACGGTCCTGCGCTGCCCGCATCCAGGCTCTTCAGCTCATAAGTAATTATTAATTAAAACTCACAAATGAAAACTCACACGAGTTTTGCAATTTAATCCACTTAATTGATATGGCATACTTACATAACCTGTACCAGATTACATGCTAGTAAAAGTACAATAACTGACGTGCAGTTATAGGCTTAGGCCATTGGGGGTTAACTGTAGTAGTATTGAAGTAATCCTTCCACATATCTTCAAACTTGTAGGAAAATATTCAAACCAGTCAAAAAACGCAGCGATTACTCCGCACAGTGCGTACTAAAGATGCCAATCTGCATCGGACGCATCATATCGGCTTATATGTTCCGTCGTCACATAATCGCGTTTTTGTATTTAAATTCAGCCTATTTGAATACAATGTCCTGCTACCGAGATCGATCTGATGATGGGATGGGCAAGCCTTTAGCGTCAAATGATTTGCCATGGGATTCCATACCTTATTGCTTAAAAATTAGG